GGACATTTTCTGAAGTGGTACTTTGCTTTCCTGTTGTGGGATTCAGCATGGGGATGCAGGGACTATAAATGGGGATTCCCTCATCTCAGCCTGTCCAGTTAGGTCCAGCAAAATGGAGTAACTCTGTCAGGAAGTTCCTCTCCAGCTGTCATAACACACCTGCACTATACTGACCTGCCACAGAGTTGTTTTCTGTTAAGATAAAACTGGGCAGCTGATGAGGAGAGCTTTAGCATGGGAGCAAAGTGAGCACAGCAGCGTGGTGCCACACCTTTGGCAATATTTAATCTGGATCCCCTTATTCCTTTTTAACTGGGATTTGCCGGTTGTTACTTAGGGCATTAGGCACTTAGTTACAGATGCTTCACACTTGGTTGACCACGCACACATGAAGTCTAGGCCTGCTGCTCTGCCTCTAAGCTCCTGACACCTTTTCCAGGTCCCAATGGCTTTCCCTGCCTGTGCTTGCACCAGGCATTGCCTCCCTGAGCTTCAGCAGCGGAGGCGTGGCCTCTTCTGCGCACGCAACTTTCTGGTCTTGGAGGTAGCTTTGGCCCCTTCCCCAAATTGCCCCAAATACTGCCCTTTAAATAGAGGAAAGGTAGGAAAAGTGCCAAGAGCAGGAACAGGGGGAATTCTGAGCCAGATGCAAAACCAGAATTCAAGTCTCTAGAGCCTCTGTGCCGAGCTCCTTCCACCTGGTTGCACTGAATATATCCAAAGGCAGCTGTCAGTAGGCTGGAGTAGCAGTGACTTGAAGTCTACGATACAGTTAACACAAACTGGCATCTCTCTGTTTAGTTTTCTCTATAAAAGTCTATTTCTACTCTCTACTTTTCTTTCCCTCTCACTCTTTTTTTTTTTTTGTTTGTTGCATGATCTCTGCCAAAAATACATTGATTTACTTGCAACAAATCATGCCAGGATCAGAACAGCTATATCTAAATTTATGGTCCAATTTTCCAACAGAGTAATTTCCTGCTATTTTCCTGCCTCCTGAGTCAGAACAGTATATTTCTACATACTGCCAGACATGGACAATTCTTAGTTAGAGATGAAGCCATTTCAAACCAGAGCCAGTATGGCTTTCAAAGGCCAAATCTTTCAGTTCTTATTCAGGATTTTAATTATAATGATCCAGACACGTGTTTTCTCATGGCCTGTACATTACAGCTCTCATGATGCTCTTGCTTGCATTTCAGAGATGCAGAAAGAGTGATGGAGGTTATTACTTTGCAGTGCTTTTCAGAGGTGGTGTTGGGATGAGTTTGAGTTATTCGTTTATGAGATTAGTTTATACAATGCTGCTGCAGAGCTGGTAACAATTTTCATTATGTGCTGTAGAGCATCCTCAAAGGGGATCTGCTCTATCTCATGGCAGAAAGCAGCACAGGTATGAAAGGAACTTCAAATACTTAAAAAGACAGCACACAAATAGACTTTGTCCCTCCTCAACAGCCCACCTTGACAGCACTGGTTTGATAATCAGCAGCCTCTATGCATTAAGCCAGTCCCATGTGGCTTAGTGATTCATGGATGCAAGGCAGGAGGGAGGATTTCTTCCAGTCAACTCTTTGACTGCTCATTTTCAGTCTCAGAGGCCCACATCACATCTGGAGATTGCCCAGTCATGGGGTTTGGTTTGGGATTCATAGTGTGTGAGCATAGGGAGGGTTACTTTACCATCTGCAATTTCCAGTTGTGGACTGTGGCATTCAAAATTAAAACAAACAAACAAACCAACCAACCAACTTGTCATCCTTCCTGCAAAGGGTCATCTCCTCTTAGGGGTACCAGAAAAAAAAAAAGACATAAAAACTTCATTGTTAACTTTTAAAAATTCCACAAGGACAGGCAATACAACAGCCTGATGTTCTAGGTGAGTATGAAGTAAATGAAGTCTTGCAGACATATGGCAAGGTGCTGAGTTCCTCATTCAGTGAAAGTCCTGAAATCTCCTGAACAGTAAGCCCTAGTTTCCTCGTTGGAAGAAAATACATTAAGGGACACTCACAATTTAATGTGCAGGTCCCAGATCAAACTGTAGTATTCTGTGTAATCCCTGATGAAAAGCAAAGCAAGGAGGAGTGCTAAGGCACTGGATAAGAGGCATCCTCTCAAACAAAGGTCAGCCAAGGTTGAGGGAAGGCCCCAAATCCATGTCAGCTGATAAGATAGGAAAGAAGGAATTAGCTTTCTCAAGAGGTCCTTCTGAAGCAAGAGTAGAAGGGATGGTCTGGATGGGGAAGAAACCTAGCCTGGCTATACTCTTTCCTCAAGTAGAGCAAGAGGCGGTTCTCTCACAGTCTTTTAGTTTACTTAAGGTGTTTTCTGGAGGCTTCCAGATGTTTCTGTATCTCTTCCCTCACTGTTTCCTTTCTAGGAGTGGTGATCTGCAGCTCTCAGGAAAAGTTTTGCACCCTGTTGGTCATCAGCCCCTGACAACAGGCTGGCTCTGCACCTTCGGATTTTCTTGATGACCTCATTTTTCAAGGCTGCACTTTCCACCTCCGATGGTTTCAGGCTTGATCTTAAAATAACTGCACCTTGCATTGATTCACCCACATCTAAGGGTTGGGTTTCTTAGCCTCTTCTGAGTCAGGGTGTGTTTTGGTTGCTCCTCACTGAAAACTACTCAGTTTGCCCCCAGGAGGGCCTTTTGACTGTGCTCTGATCGATTTTTTTCTGCCTTAGTCATATTGAAATGTCTTTCACACCCAATATCTGTCATCAAGGGGAGAGAGCTGAGGATATCATGGCAAGCTGTGACTTGGAAAAGTTTAGTTATGGGTGCTTATACATTTTCCAAAACCAGGTACAACTCTGCATTGCTATGGTGACAGGGTCCTTCTTAATTCTCCTCAGCAACAGCAAATAGGGAACATATTGGCCAGAGAAGGAAAGTATGGACCCAGGGGCCCTGGAGATGATATATACTTCTTCATGACCTTGGAAGCCCACCTAGTCCAGGGAGAGAACGCATCATTCAAAAATTGCTAGCCAATGAAATTCAAGAGCAGGATTTAGATTCACAAAAAACCCCAAACAAAACACAAAGGAGTTAGAATCAATCCAACAAGCACAAATCCTCCATTGCTGGTTGGGTTTTTTTATGTGTGTTAATTTCTCACCTGTGTTCTGGTTTCTAAACAAAAAGGAGGACCTGCGTCTTTTTTACCCACCACAAAGTTAAAGTCTGATAAACAGTGAATTTTAAACCAGCCCCCCCCAAAAAAAGAAAAAAATCCACCTCCTTTGTGGGCAGACAAGAGCATGAGCCTATTTTATTTTTTCCTACCCCCTGACATTAGCTGGCTTCAAACAGGTTGTCCAGCATCACACAGTTACAGGATGTAATGTTACCAGGTATCCTGAATTTTTATTTTGGTGGGAAACAAAGGCTCTATGTCTTTCTATTGGGGAATTCACCAGTATTCCTGTATTCCTGCCAGCTCATGATCGTCCTAATGTTGCCAAGTAGTAAGTGATTAATTGCCATGAGACAGATGAGAAAAAAAATCACAAGATATGACAGAAAAAGAAACATTTTTGAAATGAACTGATCCAAGATATATTTGCTTGCACTTTGATATTTGAATCATTTTTGTTCACATAATCAGGCTTTTGACAAAACTTCTGATGTCTGTGTGCATGCCTAGCTTATAAAAAAAAAAGAAAACAGAGTCTATCTAGTAACAGTTCAGGGGCTAAGGTTTTTAGGGAAAACACAACCTATCACAGGAATTGATAACCTGAATGCCCTTTAGAGGAGAAGTGCCCAACCTGTGGGCCACAGCTGGTGTCAAAGGCCATTTCACATGGTTCATCTTTTCAGCTGAGATTGACTTAAGAAAGTGTGAGGGCCTATGAGAAATTATAGTAACTGACATTGGCTAGTGGTCCCAAATAATTTGTTGATACCTAGTTAGGAGATGCATATGGGATTAGATGGATCATCACAAAGGACTAGATAGATCATTATCATGACTTTGGCATAACCCCTCCTTTCCTCCAATGATGCAGCCTGAGTACTTTGGCAGACTAAAGCTGGGAGAACCTAGAGAAAAGATGCACGGGTTGGAGGGTTTGCTTGGTCCTGTGTAATTCTATGTTAGATCCTTTTTAAAAATATTCCTCAGAAGCAAATTTATCTGCCAAGTTTCAGTACAGCATGAAATATGTACAGCTACATAACCCTCCGCCTCATTCCAAAAATGGAGAGTTACTAAGAAAAGACAAACTCAGGCTTAGCTATCACATCACAGGGGTCCTGAATGTCAGTCAGCCAGAGGCAGACTGTGATTTTACCATAAAGTTGTAGCTGCAAAGGTCTCTCCTCTGCTGAGAACTAGGAAGGAGGAATGTGGGAAGGGAAAAGAATGGAGCACAGCTAAAGTGGAGGGCAAAGGGGGTAAGAACATGGGACAAGGAGGACACTGGAGAAGGATGGAGAGAAATGAAGCCTTTCAGCCCCTCACCAGCAGTGGCACCTGTCCCAGTCTTGGCCTCTCTTGTGTTTCAGTGGCTTGTCTTACTGTCATGACTTTGGGAAAAAGAGCCTGTTTACAGGAAACAAGCTGACTGTGTTTTCCGTAGTCTTGCTGGGCTGGGGTGGAGACTGAAGCAGGCTCTTTTTGCTGCTGAGAAAGCCCCAGCTTCTAGGGGTATGTGAATGCTGCAACTCACTTCTTCCCATCCCTACCTCCTTCCCTCGGTGCTGGCCCTTCCTCACCCCAGCCTCAGGCACATGGGCTTTAGAAGGGGTTTGTGGTTCCCAGAAAGACTGCAGGATCCCTGGAAGCTGCTGGGCCCATGTTGTGGCTAAATCTGTGGGGACTGACCCCCACCCGGTACTACCCTCCCTTGCATCCTTTAGGCTGCATAGAAGATGTTTAATGAACGGATTTCCTGTAATAGATGGTAGCAATGACAAGAAAAATAAGATGTTGCACCACCTCTTGGCAGAAGTGGCTCAGAAGGACAATTCAGGCTCCTGTCTGTCCTCTCCCAGCCCTCTCCCTCTATGTTCCCATGCACATTTTCTTATGGGTCATGCTGAGGGCTGAAAGAAAAACTGTGCACTGTCTTCTTAACAGCAGGCACAGAGGTTATCACTCCAGCCTTGAAAACCAAGGCTGAAAACAGGGAAGGGGGGAGGTGACATATTTTGGGAGAAACGAGTATTTAGAATACATCATATTTGTACTATTGGCCTCTTCCCTACCTCCCTCACAGCTTGTAAAACTCCTGCTGTCTCCCTTCCTTTTCAGGCAAATGCTTGGCTTGTCGTTTCTCCCAGCACACAGCATTCCCGTCACCCTGTCCCTGTGGCTACTAACCCACCTCCTGAAGCTTAAAGAGGAGCTTGTGGGCCAGCTTCTGTCCCAGTCCTTGCTGTGGCTGTTGCTTGACTTGTATACAGCAGCATGTGTTGGATGGAGCTCCTGCTCCTGATGAACAGAGGGTGCCAAACCGCATGAATCTGGGGTTTGGCAAAGTCCAGCTGCTTTCAGACGGAGAGGCAGGGAATGCCGGGGGCAGCAGTCCCAGCACAGTGGGTTTGTCACTTGCAAGGAGGGGCTGGTCCTGGAAAAAGGGAGATGTCTCAGTTAGTCATCACCCACCCGCTGGTAGCTGGGAGGTACTCTTGTAGCATCTGCTGCTCAACAAGGCACAGCCAAGGTCAGGAGTGGTGAGGGCTATTCCCTGAAGAACGAAGGGCCACTGCTCCAATCCAGCTGCACATTCTCCACTACCCACAAGCCTGTGGGGCTGCCGCCAAGAGTCAATAAGCTTAACACTGTAATGATGTTGATTCACTGCATGTCTAAAGACACTGGGGATGGTGATAGCATGGGTAATATGTGCACCCAGATGCACATTTCAGTAGGTGACTATGGGACACTGATAGGAGGAAGAGAGTGTCTGGAATGACCATCCATAGCTGCTTTTTGCATGACTTGCCATACCTTCACATTCCAGTTATTTGGAAGAGTTTCACTTTTAATAACAAGCAAAAGACATTGAAAGCACATTGAATTTACTTAATAATACACAAAACAGTGAGCTTCCCACTTCCAAAAAGTGAAGAGCAACAAAAAGGGATCAAAAAGCTTCTCAGGTATTACACAAGTATATTCCACAGGCAAGAGGTACATGAAAAGGATGCTGTTTTCCACAAGCTGTTGTTGTATTCCTCACTTGTATCTCTCAAATATATTTTGGAAACATCTTTCTGAGAAAATTTAATATCAAGAAAGCTTTGGGGTAAGAGTTCATAGATACAAAGCAAATGGATTATGCAGGAATTTAGCTTCAGTAAGGACTGATGGCAACTGACCGAGGCAACCAGTTGCCTGTCTGGGATTTCTGGGACACTTCTGCTTCAGCTGTCCATAGATCTCCAGAGCAGAGATATCTCTGTGATAACTGCAACAATACTAATAACAGCCAATAAGTAGCTAATTGGAAGTTCATATGACAGTCTAGAGAACAGCTATACAAGTTGTGATCTCATGTCACATGTTTACCCTTGATGGGAAAAAAATGGAAAACAAAAGTCATGAGACAAAAGGAGTGGGGACCACATCACTAGAGCCAGGCACTTGCAGCTTGCTTTGGGATTGCACTTGTGCATTGAACCGTACAGGTTGCAGACGCCTGCCAATATCTGTCTCTGCTTCCCCTCCACCTCCATTTCACAAAAGAAGGTCTACAGTACCCTCTTTTATCTGAAGGCCTTTAAAAATCCCACAGATTATTCCATGGCTGCAGACCTAAGCCATCCTTCCCTTGGGAAAGTGCTAGATACGTTGTATGTAACCCTGGCAAGATACATTGTCCTACAGTCTTCTAACTTTGACCCTTTCATATATCCCTTTATTGCCCTCAAGAAAAACAGACTCATAAAATGCAACTCATTAAATGCCCACACATTGTGAGACACTACTACTAAGCCTCTGCTGTTAAGGCTTTCAAATTTCACATGGTATTAAAAAGTTTACTGGACACTTGTTCCTCTTTAAGATTGCAAAACAACTTTTTGGGTCCCTGTGCTATAAACTGGTAGTGAAAGTGAACTAAAGAAACTCAGATTTTATTGTAATCCATGTTACTAGGAGTTGTGCTTTAACACTTCAAGACTTGGCCCGAACGTAAAGAACCAGTAGCTCTTACAGACTTTTTTTCCAGCTGAGAGAGAGGTTGGCAAGGTACAGAACTAAATAATCCAAAGAATGCCACCCCAAATGCACTGAATCCCACAGAGAATTTGATGCAGATTGCTTAGAAATCTCGTCATTTTTTCTGCCAAAGTGCGGATTAGGCAAAGTGAGGGAAAAGTCTTTCTAATTTAGTCCTAAGGATTCCATTTTGAGGCAGTTTAACAATATCAAAAGGGCTAGCATTTTCCTTTACTGTTCTAAAAATGTGGAGGCAGGCACTACAAATCCCCTTTCTACACAACAGAATCCATCTTGGGTATCACAGATTTATCTGCATCTCATATAGTCCGTGGTTTTTCTGCAAAGACTGTTCAAAAGCCTTACTTGTACAAACAAGGACGTGTAATGTTATCATAGTTGAAAGAATAACTTCAAAAAAGATGTGATTTAGCAAGGCCATCAGAAAACCTGTGGGTTTTTTCCCTTCATCAACTGGTTTCAATGCCTGTCCAGCTCTATCTGTGTGGACAAGGAAGTGCTAAGGACAGTTACAAAGTGTTTGTGAGGGACTTGGCCCATGCAAGAGTGAGATTTGAAAAATGTCCTGAAAGCCATCATTAGAAACCTTCAGGGGAAAGATACTTCCTACCCACTGGCTCTTCCATACAGAATTTTGTGAGCATAGGTAGGATTAGCCCAGAAAGGTAACCAGAAACATCAGTTGGACATGGGGCAATAAGGGAGTATTGCAAGAACAGTTTTTAAATCAAGACTAGGTGCTGGAGATCTGAAATCTATGCAACGTGACCCATGTGTGGATTCTTTCTTCATTCAGTATCCTTACTTGAAAAGTAGGGCTTTACTTTCTGGCTTTTGTCAAAACAGATGTTGAGCAGCTTGACACCTCAAATGCCATAATATCCTCAGGTCCTCAAAGACTGTTTGAGAAATATGTGCCCAAGGCTTTGGAAGTGTCTCAGCTCACCAGCTGTTAGCTCCTGCTCATGACAGAGGATTTATAGCAGAAGGTACACATAACATCAAGATTCCTGGATGTGATTTGGGACCAGTACATCTGAGGAGGTGGGAGGCAGGCTGTGGTGTAAATGACGGTGTACACACCTCTAGTTGTTAAAGCTTGTGACATAAGACCATTAAGTCATTACAATACTATGGAGACACTATTTATAAGCTTGAGGAACTTGGTGATGTAAGTCAATGATCTGTCTGGGTGAACATACAAACCATTTATATTCTGTCCAGTATGTACCTAATGAAATTGTATAACTCTGAAACAAACAAAACCTTAAATTACCCTGTTTCATAATTAAAAAAAAAATAAATCTTGGTAGAGTTTTAAAAATATTTGTTGCATCATGTTGCTGAACAAAACAGAAAGTGTGATCTTCTAGTGTCCTCATCTCCAAAGAGTTCAGGGTTGCTTAATTAATGAGGTTTCTGGGATTTATTAGTATTTGTTAAGCATGTGCAATATGATCCAAAAGACACAATGCAGTTCCTGACCTCAGATTCCATTTCAAAAATTGGACAGCAAATGACAAGGAGCTCAGAGAACATGAGAAGTAAAGCCTGTTGTAGGAGTGGAAGGATTTATGTTGTAGCCCAGCATTTTATTGTCTGTGTTGGGCTGGGCTGGGATTTTGCCACTGGCTTGTGCCAATGCCACAAACCCTGTGCTGGTCCCAGAAAGATTTTGATAGGGAAACATATGGCATCTTGCCACTGTGAGAGAAGGAGCTTGATCGTTGGCTGGAGAGCAGGGAAAGATTGAGGAACTGGAGAGAAAAAGGGAAGGCACAAGTGGGAAATCTTTGCTTAGAGTTGCAGCAATTCTCAAACTTGGAACAAATGAGGGCAGCTTTTCCCTAATTTCCACTGGCAGCACCTCAGAAGGGTTTTGCCTTTTTGGCATGAGAGGTAGGTCTCAAGTAGATCCTTTATTTTGTATGCCACTTCATCTGCTCACTGCTATCACAGAGCTCCAGACTGTGGACAAACTTCTGGGTTGTGTTTTCTTTCTAGAGCACCCAGTATTTTTAACATCTGAAACAGCTGGTCTAACCAAAATGTTTGGACTGTATTTAGAAATTCTTGTGAGAAGTACTGGCTGGTGATGTAAAGGAGACAGATGATCTGTCTGGGCTAAATCAGTGTAGCTGTAGGTATTGTCATTTATTACAGATGGAGGGAAAAGAATAGTGTAATATTTCAGACTGGAAGTCAGATGTAAGGCAAAAATCAGTACCTTGAAATCTTTTCTCCCAGTTTTGCTTTTTAAGCACAACCCATCATTCAGAAAAGTTTCTAAAGACAGATGATTTAGTTATCCTGGTAAAGTACCTACATGTTGGTACCCTCTCTTTGTGCTTCAGGAATGATGAATACTTCCATGCTCTATCACAGTCCGAGACCTATATGCCACCATCCCCTGCCCCACAAGAGACAATAGTTCATACTCACACATTTAGTGTCTTTCCGTTTGTACTGTAAAAAAGGTACAAAAGCACCCTGAACAAACATGTTGAAAACAGAGTCATGGTTCAACAGAATAATTCAGCAGCAGCTCATAGAGAAGATAATTTCAGGTGACGTCCATGCAGAAGAGGATACCAAACTTGAAAGTACAGGCTTACTTGGGGATGAACCCAAAAATATGTAGGAAGTATCGCAAAATGGAAGCAGCTTTTCTGCTGGAAAGTGTGAGAACTTTTCCCTGAGGAACCCTACCCCATATCCACATGAGCACAAAGGAGAAAAGTCAGGCCTGGAGGTGTTGCCAGAAGGGTAACATACCTCATGTAAAGCACATTACAAAAGCAAATGCTGAGCTAGCAACAATCTCTCTCTAGTAGCAGTGGGAACCCCCTCCTGCTTTATTTTGTAAAGCATCTTTCATATCTTCTGCCAAAGACTTTAGGCGACATCAAGTTTTGCAAGGAGGCGAGTAATAATAGAGCCAAAACTTGGTTCAGACTGCCAATAACAAGTCACTGTAGCCTGTAACAGTGAAAGGTCATCCACAAAGGCATTATGAACACACATTTTTGCCCCAAATTCTGGATCAAATGTTCTGAGGAAGAAGTAGAGAGTTGGGCTGGGTCCAAAGCATGGGGAGAACTTGTAATTAATCTTTTTGTAATTCTTTTCCCACCCTAAACCTTCTACATTTCCTGCCTCACTTAACTCTTTCCAAAGTATCCTTCTGCAATGTCACAATTGCTAAGGTATGATACAGACCAGATACAGGCCAGATGGCCTCCTGAATGCCACCCTTAGGCACCTATGACTAGCACCAGGTGACTGGTTTTTGGTGTCACAACTGCCACTTTCCAAGAGCGCTTTAAAGCTTGGTCTGAAAAATTCATCCTTCTGTTGAGCTTTAATAATTACGTGGCAGTCATTTTTTTCACCTTTACTGGGCTGTTGGATACCAGCTTCTCACACAGCTGCACATTTTTAGGAACAGGTTCAACAAGATGGTACAATAAGGTTCACCAGTGCACAACCATACAGATTAACCTGTCTTCAGAGGCACCTAGCAGGCACGTGAATCATGGAGTGTTTTGAATTAAAAGAAGTGTGGACATATTTCCAAGTTTAAAGCTTTATCACATTTGCTTTCCTTTGCAACAATGAAGTTTGAGTTTCAAATAATTTTCTCACTTTCTCTATGCCTTCTAGTTAGGACATTCACAAAGAAGACACAGCACCACATCCCCCACTCCACAGCATGGAAGACTGCCTCATGCTTCTCAGGTTGTTGGTTATGTTAGTACTTTAAAAGGACCAAAAAGAAAGAAAGGAAAAAAAAGAGCCTGTCCTGGTTTGAACTATAACCACATCCCTGGCTCCCCAAAGGCAGCAAGCCAAACAGTCAGGAGTAGGCAAGCTCATCTCTTGAACATTTGTCCCTTTCTGTGGTTTTGAGCATTTTAAACTGAGCTGTTCACAAAGGAAACTGGGTTACGATGCCACTGTGCAGGCTGGAATTGAGACCTTATGACCTGTCCTGGTCTGTATATATGACACTTATTAATGTGGCAGCTGTGAAACCAAAGGCAGCTGTGAAACCAAAGGGACCACAGGCTGGAAGGCTGATGTGATGAAGCTCAGAAGATGAAGTTGTCCATTTCCCTCTCCTTCCTGCATTTTTCTGTTTCAGATGGGCCCAGGTGTCTTGTGTGTCTGCTGTTCTTGGTAAGCAGTTGCCCAAACCTTTTTCAAAACCAGGTACCCTTGCAGTGCAAGGGCTGGAAAACTCAAAAGATGTGAAGTGAGGCACATCATGACTGTATTCACCAAGCTCAAGACCAGGTGCCTTATATCTCCATAGAGCTGAATTCTTTCTTGATAGCTATGAATAGGGAGAAGTGACCAGTGACTGTCACCTGATGCCTCCACATCAGTAGTGCAAAGAGGGGGATACACTGTTTACTCCCAAGATACCTTCCCTTCTCCCTGTCCCACAGCTCTTTGAGAGCAAACGAGCAATAAGCAGTCAACTTTGTATTTTTGTGGTGTGTATATGTCGGTTTCTAAAGCATCTTTTGCTACTTTGTGTCCATTTAGATTAACATCTGGATTGAAAACCTAGGTGCAAGAGGTCAAGGATTTCTCAGCCAAATAATCATTCTATTGTGCAAGGTGATGATGTTTGTTTGGAGCAGGTGATGTCTCTGCTCTGAAGGAGATAAAGTGGACCTTGTTGCAGTTGGATGGTTTCTGGGGTATACTTCAGGCTGAGGTTCTTTGGCAAGGCAGATGCATACTTTAAGCACACCAGGGGAAGGACTGAGGCCCTTTAATCTACTGCAGGAGAGCATTCCAATGAAAAAGAAGAGGAATGGACAAGCAAAAGGAACTCTAGGTTTTTCAGTCCCTGAAAAGAAGTATTATTCTCTGGAGTAAGAAAGGAAACAGCGAAAAGTAAAATTTTATCCTGGTGAATAAAACAGAGAGAAGAGGGAACCAGTGGAATGAGGTCATTGGAAGCACCTTGTAAAGCTGTCTGCAGTATCCAGCCTTTACAAGGAAGGTCAAAGGCTTGGTCTTTTTTGCTACCCATGTCTCTACTTGCCAAAACTCAGCTCAGTGACAGGTTCTTTAACATGAGAGAAGGATATGAAGTGATGAATAATATTTCCACCACCTTTGAAAAGTCAGGGGAAAGGTTCCAGAAAGGCAAGTATGGCAGTTTCTTTAAGAAGAGTGCAAAGAGTGCAAAGAATTTGCATTCACTCCTTCTGAGCAATTTAGCCTGTGTTCTGTTGTTGCTGCTGTTGGGTTTTTTTGGTTTTATTGTTGTTTGGCTGGTTTGGGTTTTTTTCTGTTTGCACTCAGCAAAGTATTTTGAGTGAACTTGATGCATAGTCAAAGTTGTGTAGTCAAGTGCTGAGTGTGTTATCTTGTGCCAGCTTTGTAAGGGACAGCTCAGGCCCATATGTGTGTTCGTTGTGGATTTGGTATCTTGCTTCACACACCTACAACCAGAAGTTGCTATCCTGGATCTCACACTCCTCCACTGCTATAGTGAAACAGTATTTGCAGCATCCCACAAATCAAGGTTAAAAATGTTCTTTCAGGAACTGTAATTATGGTGAATATTTAATAGCAGACAAAGTAACAAACTTCAGAGAAGAAAAAGGCAGGATCTCTTCATGGCTGTCTCAATGAAGCTGAGCACAGAACTACTGATTACAAGAGAATCAAATCACACTTCACAGTTCTCACTCTAGGGGCACTTTGTGTTTACCTGAATATATTCATCTATGAGATAACTCCCCCCACCAACATGCCCTCTTGTGACAACTTCCAGTCCTGTCATATTCTCCTCAAATCCAACCCTGGGTTATGACATTTTCCCCTTCTCTTCTAAAACAAACAAGGGAAGGGAAGAACATCACCTTATATTTCAAGTTTAGCGACTAAAGCATATTTTCAGGAGAGAAGAGCTGTACGAAGAGATGGGCACAGAGTGGGGGGGGCAGTGCAATTTGTAGACATCAAGAGTACTGACTGAAATGTCTATTCCCTTCTAACCATTACTACTTATCCCCATTGTTCCTTGTTTTTGTAGGGTGGAATGAGCACTCTTTCAGTTAATGGCTTGTAGAAAAATGCAATTCCTTATGTCATTTTGTGCATCTGAGGAAGCTGGAGTTTTCCTCTGGGTCCAAACTCATGTGCAGCTGCTTATTTGCAGATAAATACCTAACAAGGTTCAAATCCACCTAAACTATTCTTCATAATGTTTCTTTCACCTCTAATAATTTCTCTTCCGTAATCACCACTCCTTAGTTTGGCTACTCTGTCTTTTTGCTACTCTCAGCTAGGTTGCTGAAATGTTTGGCATATTGTCAACTGTATGATCCAGCAACAGGCAGCCAAGCTTCTCATTTCTCAAGTATCTACAAACATGCCTCTGCAGTATGGTTGGTGTTTGTGGCAATGGATGTATGGAAAAAGTCCTGCCAAAAATGGACTGGTGAATCAGAAGTTTTTGATGTTGTTTAAACTCATGTTAAGGGGGCTCTTTGCAGAGTCACTGCTTTTCCCTATACCTCCCCTGTAACCCCCTACCTCTCAGGTAGGAGTGTCCTGGGAAGATGTCCCAAGGTGCTCCCATTGGTCCTTTGTTAACCCCTTCCTTATTGGCTGTAAACTCCTTACCTTGATTGTGACCCCTCACCTGTGATTGGTCCCCAAGGGCTATATAAGCCCCCTCCCACAATAAACTTCCTCTTTCGTCCGTCCCTCCCTGGTGGTCTGTGTGTGCTCCTTGAGGGGTCACCGGGCCACGTGCAGGGGTGGGGGGAAGAGCATTCACCTCGCAGGTAATGGGGCAAACAGCATAAGGCCTGGAGGTCTCCCCCTTTCTCCCCAATCCGCCGTAGGTGTTGGTCTACAAACAGAAGCCCGAGTTTCTTCTCCTGTTTAGACACCTGCAGATCAGGAAGAGGGATGGGGATGGAGTCAAGACTAGAACAACACATGTTGCACCTTGCTTCATAACAAAACCAAGCTAATCCAAAGCCTGCTGATCTTTTGAGGAGTTCAGGTTCAAGTCAAAGACTGATTGAAGTTTTTCTATTTCTGTGTTGGACAAATGCATGTAGTTCGGAGATGCTCAAGAAAGGAGGTGACTTGTTTTTGGAAGCTAAAGAAACATATGATCTCTCAATAGTCAGGAGGTATGAGCTATATGCAGAATTGTCTTCCTCATAATTTGACAAATAGGTTTGTAGAGGACCTAACAGACTACCCTGTTGCCAAGCCCAGCAAATTCTTTTCTTTTAAGGATGGCACATTCCATAATGAATAGCTAAGATGATCTGTTCAATGAGCCATTTGCAAAGTGAAGACTCTCTTTAAAGCAAAAGCTGTTACGGGAATTGTTTCTATTATAACTGTTCTATAAATACACAGTAAATTATCAGTCAGGTATTTTCTACATGGCTGCACAATATTCCTAACTTTGCACATAGGCTTATTATTTAACCACTTCTTTTCTGCTCTCTGGCAATTCACAAGGCAGAGGGGAGGACCTATCATGCTAGTCAAATTCTTTAGGTGAAGTTAGCAATGGTGGAAGACTGAGAAGTGGCTGAAGATGGGATGTGGAAAAGGCTACACAAAAAGAAACTTCTTCTGCCTGTTGATATGCATGCTTGACACATATCACCATGATGTAGAAACTCACGTCGGTAAGTTTTAGTGATTTCTCTTAACCATTTTGACAGCTCCTGAATAACTGTGGGTCCAAATGTAGTATCTGATCTGATTCTACTCTATGAGAAATCATGGAGTAGAGCTCTCTGTACTGGGCCTGTCTCTGTGATGGGGCTGAGCAAATCTGCACTAAGGAAAGCAAAACCATGACTATTGACAAAGGAAAAATAAAAGTCACCAGAATGACATACTGGCTTTTGAGGTCAGGGAACCTCCACGTGATTGTTGAAGATAATTTTGAACTGAAAAATAAGGGGGACTGATTCTTCTTTTTAAAAACTATTAACAAAAATACATCAAATATGCAAACTCACATCGACTTTTAATTCTGAAGAAACAGAATGAAGATTCACTGGGTTGTATCCAGGACTCCAAAGAGAAACAATTTTGCAAGATAAGATGGTGCACCTGGTTGCAAAAATTTGTATCTGTTGGTTTAATTTTTAATTTCTGCAGTCTTCAGGCATTCAGAAAGGAAAATGGTGCTGAAACTTTCAAAAGGTATATTTCCTTGACTAGTCACAAAAATCCAGAACTCAACACTGAAATAAAACTCGCTAACTTTTTTAAACAAAGTTTATTAGAAAGATTGTCACCTTCTAAACAAAACCTGAACCCCCCTTGGGGTGTTATAGCCAATACAGGATGGTGTTTCTTCCAAACAACTTAAAATCCAGTGCAATTACATAGATTAGGAATGGAAGTGAAATTGAACACAGACATATGCATGGAGAGGAATGGTACTATGACATTTAAAAAGTTAAGAATAGTCAGGACAGACAGATCTGATCCTGGCACAAGTTTGTCAAAAAAGACATCCATTGTCTTTGGATCCCAGAACTCAGAGCTCAGGCTTCTATCTCCATCTTTGGAGAAATATCTGTTCATGTATCCTGCTCTTTACTGGCTGCACTTTGCTACTGCAGTGGCTGATGCTCATGGGGGTGTGAGGGACTTGGTTACCTTTTCCCACCTTCACAGGTGACTGCCATTGTTGATGACCAGAAAGTAGATATTCCGGGAGGTGCTGCATTGGCCTTTCACCTTAAGAAAACTCTTCTGCACAGAAAAACCCTTTCATTGCTTTGTTAAGGTGTTTTGTGCTGGAGTGTTAAAAAGAGCCATTCAGAGGGTCAAGAATTTCACTCAAAGAGCCTACCCTGTGGCAGAGATCTGGCAAAAATCTGCCAGAATGCATAGACCTATACAAGTGCTGTGCAAATCCAAACTACAAAACACTCAATATCTCTAAGCAGCCCCAATAACTTTTTCACTTCCAGGGCTCTGTATGCCCCTCAAAGCATGGCACCCTAATCTCAGTTTGACTATCGAATTCAACTAGTTGTGGTCCAGAACTGGAAATTCAAAGCCCCAGGATGTGTGTATGTGGCAAAAGGCTTTCTGCCAGCAAGTCTGGAAATCTGAAATTATTTATTTTGAACTATAAGTAGCTTGAGAGTTGAGACATTTAATAACAGTCAGAAGAGTCTGTGCATTTCTCGTTCAGAAAAGAATAATTTTCAAAACCATATTCAGGTGTGAAATTAACTATAGAAGGTGGTTGGCTTAGGTCAAGATTCCAAGTATAGAGACAAATAATAGCCATTTTACTGTCAGAATTGTTTAGGGCCAGGAGAATACAACTACTAGGTCAGAAGGATTTTATTTCTTAACTTCAGATTAAATTAGAGCTGCTCCAAAACCACATTGCTTTAGAAGCGACAGATACATTTGCTCCTACGAAAAGCCCAGTGTGAGTCTTGGCAGAGAGAAAGGGCTTTTGCTACATCCATGAAAACATCTGCACGGGTTTCCTGGACCTTGAATACGCTAGCAGTGGGGACCCAGCTGGTACTGAGAGTGGAGGGGGGTGAGTGGAAATTAACATCCTCCTGCGATGGAAGGCAAATTGGGTTGCGCGGCTCACACCAGCTTTGCATTGACAAACAGCACTAGCTGGAGTCCCAGAGTCACTAGAGAGCTTGTTTTTCACAAGGTCGTGCAAGGTTCACTCACATCCTTCTTGCCTGTTGGTCCTGAAACAAAGTGTTAGCCCTGTGCTTCTGTTGCCATGTCTGTGCACATTTTCTGTTGTTTAATAAGCTAGATGGGAGTTATCCACAACAGCTTCTTCAAGCTCCATCGCAAATTTTGTCTCAGAAGGCTTCTTCACACTTTGCAAATGACAGCATGAGTTTCCAGTACACACTTATGACAGCGTGCTCTGGTCCAAAAAGTCTTCCTTTTAGGTTAAGAAAGGAGATTTGTTTCTTGTCATCCCAACAGAGACATATACTCTGACCTTTTGTGTTGCTTTGGCTGACGGACTATTGAGAGAACTTGTCAGGTTTTTGCAAGGTGATACCTGTAGGCTGATGGGATGGTGCTGGAGTCAGTAAATGAAATTACTGTGACCCCAAGTTGCTGATGACCATTTTCACTGCTGTTTTTTTCTTGGCCGTAGTTGTGGTGGTTTATATAAACAGGGAAATTACATTGAGAAGCCAGAGGAAGGAACAAGGATACCTTGTGGACCAGAACTAGACACATTCTGGATGAAGTGTTGCTTGACATCCCTTGGGAGCCAAAAAATAATGACTTGGACAATGCAGATGGGATGTTGCGAGACTGTATAAAACCTCTCACTCACTGAATCCCAGCTAACCACAGTGCAGCTTTATCTTCAGTGTTACTTGGAATTGTGTCAAAGAGGCTTTTTTTCTCTCTCTTTTTCTTTCTTTCATTCCATTTTTTTTAAAACCTCAAGGTCAAACAAAACATATGCTTAAAAATAAAGCTTTATCAAGAGAGATGGAGGACTAAAGGGCTTCCTATTTTTAGTAAGGGCAATCTAATCTAAGCAGAAGTTGTTCAGGGCCCCTGTCTATTTTCCATGAAAGGTAGGTGCTCCTGGGATGATTCCCAGGGCTTTCTGTGGCTTCTGTTTTCAGATGTAACCCAAACCCCTGAGTTTTATTGAGCAAGTATCCTGGAAACTCCTGAGCAAAATAAGACAGCTGATAGTCCTAGAATACCAGTACTTTCAGTAAGGTCCTGCAGCTGTATCTCTGGGTTGTGAATTCTCATAGGCTTTAAGCCAAGCTCTTTCCCCCAATCCTCCCCCAGCTACTGATATGGTCCTTGACAGGGCAAAGCATCTGTCCAACTCAAAGCACAGAAAGTGATTAAGTGCTTTCTTAATCAGGGCCTTGTAGCTCTTATATTTGGCTCTTGGCTTACTCAAAGCCAGATATTTCAGTAAATTTAATGTGGAATTGGATGGAAATGGTAGTGAGACAGGGAACTTTTCACTTCTAGGTCATCACTGAACAATTTTTCAGGAAGGAAAACCCTATAAAATTATTGTTGCTTGAAGGCAGTCAAGAGTGTATTTGAAATGTTGAAGCACAAATATCTTGGCTGGTCTGCCTGCTCTGTATTGCCAGCGTTATGGGAATTTGCTTGTGAGTTTACTGTGCTGAGACAAGAAAATTACTTTTGAAACACCCAACAGACGGCTGCTATAAAACTTTAAGATGGAGAAAAATAAAATACAGTTCTGCTTTTGAAACCAGGAGAAAAAGAAATTCCTTTCCCATTGGCCTGAGACTTTAACCTATATCTTATATAACATTGTATATACATTGTATATATACAATGAAAAATTGCAGAAGAGGTCACTAAGAAATCTAACCGGTTGTTTTTGACCTATAATGCCTGGACCTGTGGGATCTGTGTATTACTTCTTGTAGGAGACTATTAAACAAAAAGAAGACAAATCATCTGATTGCTGGGAGGATTAAAAGTACTTTTCAGAAAAAAAAACAAACAGTTCGAAAAAAAGTTGAAAACTTCTGCTTTAGTGAACAACAAAATTATCACCAGAATGTTCAAATTTATAAATAAAAGAAATAAAGCCAGATTTCTGTGTAGCCCAATGACTTTTTGTTTTGGAAAGGAATGATTGTTAAGCAGAATGAGATATCTGGGAGTGGGGAGGTAACACAGAGCCAGGGCTGCAAACTATCCTTTTTTTATTCCTAAGTTTGCAGGAAACTTTGCCGTGCCTGGGTCTTGTGGAAATCTGAAGCAGGCTGCCCTCCTTTCCATCTCTTCGATTTTAAGCAATGATCTGCATGCCTTGAAGTTTGGAGAGGAAATATC